TTCGCTTTTTTTGTCTGATGATGAACATGTGATGCACATAAAAGAGTTAAAGTAATGTCAGACTGTTTCTGCTGCCAAAGCAGAGAGAAGAAGAGAGAGGAGAGGAAAGTAGCTATGCCTTTTTATTTCCAATTATCATCACAAAGTCACCTCATGTTATTCTGAGCTGCACTGATGGAATAGACGAGTGTAAAAGCATCAACACTGTCAGGAATCCTGGCAGGATGAAAGAAGCTTTGCGCAATTAAAATGCAGCTATAATCGTCATTATATATTTATATTGTCAAAAACCATCTCTCCATTTATTAGAAGCTCTGTTTTAAAGCCAGAGTGGAACAGCAAAATGATTCTACTGATCTATAAAAATATCTAATGCTCTTTATCATTCATCCCTTTATTATAAAGTCAGTACTTATGTCCATGTCAGGATCCTGTAGGAATAATGATGATGGGTTATTTTTCCAGTGAGCTGATTGGTCTGTGATTGATCTGACTCTCTAAAGTTGTGCAACAAAGGTTACCATGGTGATAGGCAGAAAAGATGAGCTAACCCACTAATCTTGATGCATGGTACAGGCCTGTAGCAAGGTATGGTGTCACCTCACAAAGTGACGGAGGGATCATAAAATAAATAGATAGATATAAATATTTTATAAATATAAGATTTAACTGAGTGAAAATGTTGTATTTTATTTTCACAGCAACCTGGGTTTCTAAGGAAGAACACTGCTGGTTAAGTAGAACTGTATTTTTTTCCCACCAATACTGTTCCAATACAGTGTTTCACTTGCTTTCGTAGATTGTTTGATTTGGCTAAATGGACCACCATTGGTTAGTAAGGGAAGCATGATTGTGTAAAGACGCCAGACAGAACAAAGATACTAGTTAGAAGCCAATATTTCCATAGGAGGGTGAGTGTAAAATCTAACAAAATTTGGGGCTTAGGTCAATTTAAACTAACAAAAGAAAATAAGTGAAAACTGCTGCTGAGTGTGTGAGAAACAAACATGTTTTGTAAGAGATAACCAGCACACAGTGCCCTTGGGAAGAGAGTATAACCCAGGCAAAGCAAGCAAGCGGGTAAATTGTTGCTGGCTTTCAGTGGCAAGGAAAAGAAAAAGCAGATGCAGAGGGATGTATGGCAACTATGTTTGTAAAGCAAAGCCAGGAAGTGATGCTGTATTTTTAATATTGACAGAGTTTAATAAAGACAGAAAGTAGCATTGAGTGCACGGCCATAGTGGAAGAAACATTAAAATTGATTAGGTACAGACCCCGGGATTGGCTCTGGAAAGAAAGGAGTTTCATGCATGAAGTTGAGGCAGAAAGACAAAAAGTATGTCACATTAAGGGCTAAGTAACTGAAGTAAAAATAAAAACAGATGTAGGTGGGAGAATATACAGGCCCCAGGACAGACCCTGAAGCCAGGATAAAAGTGGCATCAGGCACAAAAGCAGCAGAGGAAAATCAAGTAAAAGGCAGGGTTTACTGTACCCCTCTCTGCCTACGGTAGAAGGAAATGGGCAATTTGGATCTTGCTCTGCCTCCTAAATCTAAAACAAAAGCTGGAAGACAGACAGGGCTCTTGCTCCAAATCACAAAGCTGCCATCGAAGTTGCACTAAGGATTCTACAGGCAAGACTTATGAAACTTATGAGAATGTAACTCTGTTTTCAGCTAAGGAAGGAAATCACTCCATTGTGCACTGATGCAAATTGAATGAGGTTGTTATTGTTGACAGGTGCAAATTTGTTTTAAGGCAATAAAATGTTATTGCAATGTTTTTGCTGTTCTTAATTAGCAATGCCTTAATTTGGTTTCAGCGCATTGTATTACAGCTGCCTTTTTTCAATTATCAGTTCTTGTTCCATATTCTGAGTCAGCTAGACCTTTTGTTAACACTGAAACTAGCCTTACAGCAGTTTCTAATGAAGCTTTTAGTGCAAGTTTAAGCAGGGAGACAATTATCTTTTTAATTTCCTCATCACACCGGGACTCCTCCACTCAATTACTATCCAATGAACCTACTGCCATATGTGTGCGAGCTTTTCTGTCAACCAACAATCAAGCCAGCCAAAGGGTATTTAAATGAGATTTACATCTCTTTGAACGTATTAACCAATGTCATGTGTAAAAAATTGGCCATGGCAAAAAGGGAATGTTGCGTGTTGCCATTGTCTTGTGCAAGTGTGTGCATTATGTGCACAAAGAGGTGATGACAGAGTGTGAGGCAGTGCCAGCTGGAAAGATGAGTGCTACATTTATCATCCAGAGATGTGATTTGCAGTCACAGTGTTGACCAAATGGCCAATCAGCTCCTCGGCCTACACCCATTAGTGAAAAGGTAGGGTGTTGGAGGCAAGAAGGGAGGGAAACACACAGCACATCACTCACTGGATAAATGCATGGGTGAAAATGTGAGTGTTAAGCTCATGGAATCTTAGCGGTGGTGGTAAATCCGTGGCATGCGGTCACAACCGCAGCTGATAACTAGTAGCTGATGTCTAGAGGGCTGCCCTGCTACACTGACTGTGTGTGACTCAGCACAGGACATGTGGGCTACCGAGCACAGCTCCTGCATCAGCAGCCCAAAAATACAATGTAACACTCGCACTGACCTCACCAGTGAACAATAAGGGTGGCTCGCAACACAGCCATGGAAGGCTCCATCTGTTTCTCTCCCTTTCACACACACACACACACACTCACACACAATGAATCCCTCCGGTTCCAGTCTAAAAATAGCTTGGAGCACAGTCATAAATCAATGTAACAGAAAACACATAACCTGTACATATGAGCGTGTGTGTGACACGCGCAGTGTGAAGCCTGATCATGTGACTAGAATGTAGGGCAAACACATTGACGGAGCCCAGAAGGTGTGAGCAGCACACATTGGACTCTGGGCCACAGGAATAGTCCTTTGTGACTGTGACATTATGGTGTAAGTACACAATTCTCCTGTGCATTCCCTGTGTGTCTGTCACGCACATGTGATTCACACACTTCCTATCTCCTCAGTTAGCCTACAGCTTCCCAGCTGTCCCCATGTCCCACTTCCCTCATTTGACCCACAGGACTGTTCTGAGCTTGTTATACATAACCTGAATCCAGTCATCTATTGCACACAAATACTCCAGCAAAAGCTCACTACTTAAAGTAGAAGTGCTGAAAAGCAGAACCGTGTATGTGAGCTCAGTACAGTAAGAGATATTCCAGTTTGTCCATTTGCACTTATTTTCATGCAAGTTCATTAACAGTGAAGCTCTAGTACTTGCTGACATGGGAATTCATTGTTAGCAACAGCATTACAGCTTTTGCAACAGCAGACACAGACTAAGAAATTAGTCCAATGCATGAGTCCCAACGCATGAGTCCCAACCCCAAATCTGAGTCCAGCGCCTCGGTCAAGGGCAAAGGCAGGAGTATCCTTGATAGCTAACATGTACAGTTTTGTTGAGGAATGCTCTGGCAGAGCAAAATGTCTCACTCATCTTTTCATAGAGTATAAGCCTTAAAGCAACTGAGAAGTATTTGAGAAGGAGGGAAGATGTGCCTGCGTGTATTACAGTTGGCAGCTGCCTGAGTTGATAATAATTAAATAGACAGCTGGCTACTGGTCAACACTGAGTGTGCAGAGAAAATGTAGGGCAGGATTTGGCTCGTGCATGCATGTTAGAATGAGTGTTTGAGTACACATACAGTATGGCAGCACTCCGGCTGTCAGACTGTAGGGTAGTAGGGCACTATGCAAAATTTTGAGTGGAAATCAGATTGGCTCTTATCATCCGTGAGCCACAGGGAGGAAGGGCTCAGCTCCATGCAGAGGAGCGAACACTCAATTATTTCCTGGCAGTAGCTGGCGAATACAGCGAGTTATTCCCTCATCTAGACTGCACTCTGGCCTGTCTCACTGCACCAGAACAAAAAAGACAACAAAAGAAAACACCCAGCTTTGCATATGCTGACAATAATTTCTCCTGACCCTGCAAAAGTCTTGATTTCTGTCACAATAGTCTAATGCACTTTTGCAATAGTGGGCATTTTCTCACAACAGTCATGTATGGTTATATTATAGCTATCAGCTGGATATATGAGAGAGGAACCACTCACAGATTTAGAGCACAATCCCAGCTGCAACTTTCCACCCTCTGAAACAATGGACACTAAGAAAATACTGCACTTTACAGTGCCACACAAAACTAACATGGTGCTACATATTCAAGGACTACTGTGTTAGATTTAGCAGCATCTTCAATTGCAGACTGCAACAAACTGAATTCCCTTCGCCTCACTCTCCCCTTTCACAAAAATGTGAAAGACCCTTTGTGGAGCCAGTGTTTGTAGAACAGTACAGTAGGCAGACTCCAAGGAAGAGGACCAGCACCCTCTGTAGATATACAGGACTCATTCTAAGGTCTAACGAAAACACGATTCTTATTGTCAGGTGATTATAAACAAATGAAAACATACTCAATTAGTATTATATTATATTTTTTGTCATATTCTTCCAATAGATCCAACAAAATCTGGTCCTTTAAGCTACAGACTATCACGTACTCCTTATAGTCATGCTGAAATATTACCCAGCACTGATGCCAACACCAAACTCTGCACTCATCTCCTGTCTCACCTGGCAAACAGACTGATTGCTCCTCCTCCTCCTCGTTCTTTGTTCTGTTTTTGTCTTTCCTCTGAAGTTTTCAATCAGAGAGAGAGGCAGGCTGCAAATGCACATATTGAAGGAGCCCAAACCAGACTGGATATCTGGACCAGAACCAATATACTATATGTTGCCCAATCCAGAAGGCCACAGCTGTACAGCAGACATTTGCATTTATACAGAGGCAGCCAAGACAAGAGTGGAGAGAACAACATGTGAAGGAAGAGGCCACAGGTCTTGTGCTTCAGCAACATGATATACAAAAGGGAAACAGACTTGAGAATTACATACATTAAATAAACTGAATATTTACAACTTCAAGTCACTGAGACCCACCTGTTGTATGAAGAGGGAGGGTTCTTCTTGTTTCTATTTCTTTTACTGTGTTTATTATGGCCATGCTTTCTGGCTCTGGTTGTGTTCATGTAACACCTGTCCTGCCATATGTAGCATTCCCAGGCCTTGGCAGTCTCAATCCATCCAGTTCTGGAGGTCATAGTCTTTGGGATTGAGGGTGACACACCTAGTAGAAAGAACAGAGCCATACAGCTGACTGAAGAGGGCCATAGACAGCAGCAAATGGCAACTAAATCAGTTTCCAATTTACTCAATGCATAAACTAAGCATTCACCAAGTCACTGTATTCAGACCAGCACATTACAGTATGTCATTTTCTGTTGACATCCTTCAAAAACAGTACTTATGTTTGATAAATGTAACTTCTGAGGGCAAGACTTCAACAGTAACATTCAGTCAAAGAACATATTTAGGACATACACTTGCTGGAAGTTCAAAGAGAATATACAGGGCAGGTACTAAAAGTGTTTTTGACTGAAAATAAAATAAAATATATTAAATGCTGTGCTGAAAACAATCAGAGAAAACCTTCAAAAGGCTGTAAATGTACATTGATCTGTCTAAAAAGATTTGTAGGTTTCCAGGGCCACTGGTACACTGTGTGCAGCACATAGACTAAAGTCATCATTATGAAACATGCATTCTGGACTTTAACAGAAGGAGATATGTACCTGATGAGCTTGGACACAGTGAAGTTGAGGGGTCATCAGAGCCTTTAGAGTGACCACTGAAAATGAAAACAAAAAGTAAACATAAAATATCTACATGACCCCATGACTACAGTTCTTTGTTTTAGATCTTTTTGTTCTGTTTGTGGTGACATCTGAAGTCAACATATTATAGTATTTTTTAACTTCCTTGTTAACATCTATCCCTGGCAGACATGTATTGCCAGTTATCATTCAACTTGATATAATAAAAAGAAACAGAGCAAGCAAATACATTTACCGATGAATCAATGAATAAAAAAACAAGTGGACGGGTCTGCAACATGATCAAAGCACTTTTCCAAATACACAGCTGTTTTCCAAGTGTTTGAAGTGACTGGCTCATTGTCAAAGCGCAGTGTGTGCTCGTCAACCCACAAGGAACGGATGGAGGGCATATTACTGATACTATCTGGATCTTCTGCCTCGCCACGTGGCCTGGACCCACACCCGCTTCCAATTGAAAACTTCCTAGTGCACTGAAGGTGTGTACGAAGTTCATCCAATGGAACTGCTCCCCTCCAGGTGTGAGTCCAAACACACCGTGCCACAAATCCACGTAGTAAGCAGATCCATCATTCCCTGTGCTACGTCAGCACTGGCCTGGCCAGTTTTCTCTCTCTACATTTTTTATATTGGTGTAACAGAGACAAAGAGATGTAGAGGCTTGTTTGTGAATGGAGACAGAATGAGTGAATGGAAGAATGAGTCTGGGTGAGTGAACATGTGGTTGCTAGCAGGGCCCTAACAGGGGGATAATAACTGTATGTGTAATGGCTCGTCAAAGCACTCTGCACTATGCAGTGCTCACACCTCTCACTCTGTGGCCTCTGTGTTTCATCAACATACACACTGATGATTCTAACACCATTTAAAATGCAACAGGAGTTCCTATTATGATTTTCACACATCACAGGACAATAAAAGCATAGATTTGAGATGCAAAATTAGAGCTGGGTAATATAGAAAACCAATTTTTATGCAGTATCATAACCCATATTTCTCTATTGATCTAGATGATACTTTTGTTTTATATGGATATTTTCCTGAAAAATATATTTAAACTGGCATCTGTTCATCAGATCTGGACCATTTCAAGCAAATACAATCCTGCAAAAAACAACAAAACTGTCAAATCACATAACTGGGTGAGAGTTATTAAAATCAGTTTGAACTGAATTACAATATGTTTCTGGTTTGTCAACATTGTTGCTGTAACATTAGACTGTTGGGTGAATATCTGTTCTGGCATTGTTTTAGTTATTCGGTTATTTATTCTGACATGTTGGACTTAAAATATGCTACTAAGTTGTGTGTTATTATCCCCCAGATTAAGCCTCTTTCCAACAGTTGTATGATAACTCATCCATCCCCCTCTTATGGCCCCTTGTCTGGAGCTCTTCACCTCACCAGTCACATAGTGTAAAATTAATAGACCAAAAAAAGTGATGATGTTCAAACATAGATTGTTAAACTATCTTCAATCCCTGCCAAAAAAGTACACTACTGCCAGTCATTATCACTCAAAACCTGTATCAACATCACAATAAAAGCCATATACAACTATTTACACTGGAAAGTGTTTGCTGTGAATTTCAGCTACAGGTACAGTTGTGCCAGGTTTAATTTTTTTTCTTTTCATTTAGACTGAAAGTGAGAATGTGACTGAAAACCATTACTGTTAAGCGGCAGCATGATACTGCAGAAATGAACAGAACTCTTGCTCAAAAACTAAATATGGACATTGGGACCCCTTTGGGCCCTTGGCCCTCTTCACAGCATGAGAAGCCAGGGCTCAGGTCATGCCAGAAATACCTGCTGTTCCTAATATCCCCCAGGGAAAGGCTGTGCACCAACAGAGAGGCTGGGACTATCTGTGTAGACACTACACATGTGTGTGTTAGAGAAAAGTTAAAAGGAAATGATTCATAAAGCATACGGGAGATGGTTGGCAGAGTTCATAGGAACAGTAAGTCCCTGAAGGATGTGAGGATTTGGCAGATGGACTGAGATGTGAGAAAAACCATCTTTTAGGACTGAGTACAGAGTGAATTTAGGCACACGTAGACACAGCAAATTAGGAGAAAGGGAAAGAGTGGGATTGAGAAAAGAGAAAAAAGATGAAGGAACAGGAAGCTAGAGAGACAGACAAACAGTGAGATGGAATGAGACAGGCTAGATACAGACAAAATCCAAGGGAAACAAGTTAGGCAGCAAACAAAACTGGAGTGGAGATGCATTTAGGGCCCTGTAAGAAAATGCAGGAGTGCCTCTGGTACATCGTGGTCCACTTATGATCTCAGTAGTGTAAATTAGAGCTGAAATGTGGGAGTTTGCAGACAGGTTGTGACATAGATCGGAAGAGGGGAGTAGGGGATGCCCTGGATACTGATAAACAGGGACAAACAAGGTTGCTTTCTTGCTTTCTCCCTTATTTGGCCATTGGTCCAGCTGCAAGATCAACAACAGAGCACAGTGATAAAAGTGATCCAGCTCAGAATGAAATGCAGTCATGTCAGAAAACCTAAATACGGTTTGTCCTTTGGTGTCAAACAAGAGACACTAGGTCTGCCTCAGAAATTACTGCGTCCAACAGCAATTATTTTGTTTTAAATCTTCAGCACTAATGCACACTTTATTAATGATCTTTCATCCAGTCTCTGACTAATGTTTTTCTTCTCTTCTTCCCACATTTTTGCTGAATTTGTTTCTTACCTGTGCCTGCACCTGAGCCAAACCTCCCTGAATAGCCATCCTACTGTTTCCCTGACACTTTCTCCATCCCACCTGCGGTTTTTCCTGCTCCTATACCACAATCACCACATACACACCTCTGTGGTACCACATAATGACAAATTCATGGACTCACCTGTCCAAAGTATCAAGGGATGGGAGAGGAGGGGGTTCTCGTCGGTGAGGCAAAGCTGCATGGAGGAGAAGACAAGGCTATGACTATTGAGTAAGATTCCTGACAGGCTGACTTTATATGGAATGATCTTGCGATTTCAAATAATGCAATTATACCCTGATGAAAGAGTTCATTACCCACTTCATCTATATTATTATGTCTTCCATCTATACAGTTCAGATGTTTTCTAAAACTTTTTCACAATGAAAATACATTATATAATACATGTCCCATTGCAATTTTTTTCAATTTTTTCCCCTGGTTTTCCCCCTAATTTGGAATGTCCCGTTCCCAATGCAATGGAGTCATTTTTACTGCCAGCTCCTGTTAGCCAAGGGAGGGAGTAGACACAACAACACACAACCTCATTTTAGTATTATTAGCTATCTTTCACTTGCTCATTTGCTTTAATAGCAAAAGATAAACTCCCTGTGTCGTCAAACTTGCAAACACCTTTCCTGAAGATGAGCTTGTTTCACAATCAGCAGACAGTTTGACCAAAAAGACAGTTCAGGTGTCGGCACATTAATACAGAGACAGGGTTTAATAGGCTTGTATAACCTGTAAGCAAAAATTTGTTTTCATTATACTTTATAAATCCATGCAAAATTGCTCAAACAACCCTAGCCTAGTTACAAATTTGGAACACATGTTGCATATTCCTGAATCAGATAAAATGTTTTCCTAACACTAAGGTTTAAATCATTTACCTTTCACTTTACTTTGTGATGACCTAAAAACATCCAAACAAAATGTATTTTGGAATGACAGCCATTAGAGTAAAACACAGTCAACATAAGACATAACAGACAGAAGCCTATGGCAAAAGTTAGGCAAATATTGTCCAACTCAGAGCAGATATTTCTGCTGGATGGATATGGAAATATCAGGAAGGCACATTAAGTGTGGGAAGATCAATGTGTCAGCATGAATAATGGTAACAAAGAACAGGAACACAAGCCACAAATTCAAAAACATCACCCATTATCAACAACATAACCTAATAATTTATGGTGCGAATCCTTTTAAGGTAGAGAAATTAGATCAGCCTCAAAATGTCAGAGCAACAAAATGTGGCAAGTCCTACTTGCCTTTACCTTCATCAATAAAACAGAACGAGTCAAACGCTTGGGTGCACAGTTAATGGCCCCACTTGTTATAATGCTCAAATTTTACGTGACCGAGCAACACAATCACTTCTAAAACACATAGGCTGCACTGAGTACACATTCAAATGCGTGCACACGCATACACACACATATAGAGATTCCTTTGAAGAGCCAAGGCAAAAACACACATTCACATCTGGATACCATCCCCTTCTTTCTTCCATAAAGACCCCTAACGTGAGAGTGGCTCAGAGCAGTTTTCAACAACATAGAGAACACAAAAAAATGGCTGAAACTAGAGGAAGAATAATAAGGACTGTTGGAAGTTCAAGCTTGAATATGAAAAAAGAGCGCAGGGCTCCCTGCTTTGTCAGTGAAATGTAGAACATCTTCCTTCCCTTTCAAATACAAGTCCCACAGAGTTGAGAGGGCCTGAACTGCTCACTATGGAAGACTGACCCAGCAAGGCCTTTGATACCTCAGACACCTGGATGCCCAAGGGAAGACACACATGCAACAGTCTGAAAAAGAAAGGCCTGAAGTGTAGCACTGAGGGACGACCTCAGGCAATTCCTTTCAAGAAAAACAAACCCAAAGACAACAGTGTGATTCATCAGGAACATGGAGTGTGCTGCATGCAAACAAGGATAAGGATTCATTACAACAAATAGATTAAGTGATTGCAGGAGACAACACCAAGAGTTTATACAATAAATTACTATGTGAAAATACCATACGTATGTATCAAAGCATGATTAAAACTGGAGCATCACCTTCCCACAGCAATTGTGCTCAAGAAATGCGGTGTGGTCCGCACACAAACAGACACGTGCATTCACAGTAAACACCAGCTTGTCCACACACATGCCATGAATGTTAGCGTGAGTGAGTAATTGCTTCTACCTGTGGTGATCTCGAATGAGTGTTTGATGAGGGCTGGAATCCCATGCTTGGCAGCATATGAGAGAGCTAATGGCTGAGGGCTAATTGCGGCCAATTGTGCTTGCGTGGCTTTCTCTCTTATGCTAATGTTTCACAGAGCTACAGGCTGGAGGGTTTTAGATGGGAGTTGATATTTCACATCGAACCACATGCTGCCCTTCTGCACTACAGTAGAGGTCTGAGTTTTATTTGCTTAGGTAAAGGCTACTGTGTCTTGTGTACTCTGAGATGCAATCATCACAGACAGATGTGCACAATTCCTCATGTCGTGACAGTGTCCTGTGATTGCCCTGCCGTCCGTAAAGAGCATAGCCATTAGCTGCTGGTCAAATGATTCTTGAAAAAAGGCTTGCTTTTTCAAGGCTAGAGCTTAAAATCAATACTGGGTGCAGACTTTTGATGTAATCGATCAGGAATTGCTGCACTAAAGTTTTGTTTTCTTGGAAACGATGGCAAAGCCAGGAACATTTTTTTTATTGTCTTCTAATTCTTATTGAGATACATACATATTTTGTGAGAGCTGATATTCCTCCTCTCGATTCAAAAGATCAGATAGTGACAAAGCTATAGAGGTCAGTAGTTCTGATCAATAACCTTGATCTGAGGGCATATGGCAATTGTATGGTCAATTCTGAAAAAACTGAACATCTGCTCAGCTATGATCTTCAATGTATCAGTGCCAAATGGAAGGACACTCACATACATGCTGTGTTGCTACACTGACTGTAGTGACCCACTAACCAGTTGCGCAAAACAGCCTCACCTTGGCTGTGCGCTGTGCTGCACTGATAGATGACACAGGAACAACCCTGCAATGACACAGTTCCACTCCAAAATCTGCACCTATCAAACACACTTGGCATCTAATGTGACCTATATGAAAACAACAAATCAAAAAATTAAAGAGAAAACAACAACCCCTTCTTTCCCTCTGCCCTATTCCCTACAGTCAGTCTGTTCAGCACATTTCTCATGCCACAATATGCTGGCCTAGCAATTTTTTTTACCAGGGGCTATTTTTATCATGTTACACATTTGCATCACAAAAGGAGGCCGGCCCTATAACTTAAAGAAATGGGAGTGGCCTAGATAAAAAGCTACGCAAATACACTTCAAAGCTGGAGTTGACTGTTCAAAGCTGCAGTCGGCAGGATGTTTGATATTTTGGTTATATTAGCAGCTCTGGCACAGGTTCACCAGGCAGTATGGGGCTCACAGGGGGTGTGTGTGTGTGGGGTAAAAAGGGGGTCTAAACCAGCGCATCTATTTTGGAACCTTTGAAGATGAAGATATGGCATGTGCTCAGCTGTGAGCTTAGGCCAGGGAGCCTTCCTGGATTTCTATCTGATTCACTACAAAGACCAAGAGGAAGTCTAAAGACCGAAAGCACCTGGATGGCACTACAGACACCAGCCTGAAAGACATATATCCATACAATGTCTTCAAACGCATGCGTACACATGCACACACTCACCAGTGTTCACCTCTGTCCTTCAACTCCACAGGATTATTTATTATGACACGTGTTGCAGCTTCGCAAACACACACATGGTCAGATTGCCATTAGTCATTTGTGCAGCTGCATGATGCGTGATGCGGCCCAGGGGAGTTCTATTGGGGCCCTTTCCACCCGAAATCTCCGTATTCCACTAAAATTTACTCCCCCAGCATCTTAAAAGATAAATCATCCGTTCATAATCAAAGTGTCTGTCAGATGAGCAAAATGCAAGAATAATCGGCCATTAAGTAAGGATATTGTGAATGAGCATGTATATAACATGTGTTGCTTTTTACCAATACTTACGTTGTGGAGGGGTGAATGCAAAGAGAGAATTGTAGTTGGAAGGAGAGGGCAGATTATAAAAAGTACTTCTTTCCTCAGGGAACATCTCAGTAACCACCTGCAATGTAAACATAGGTATTAATAACTTTAGTGACTGTGTCTTTGTTTCACACCCACCCACCCACACACACACACACACACACACACACACACACACACAACCTGAGTATTGTTTCCTTCATCACTTAGACATCGATGCCCTTCCACTCTGCTGCTGGGCCCAGGTTGTCCTCCAAACACATCTCTAGTAGCATTTGACTGTTGTCTGTTGATCAGGTCATATAATAAACAGTACAATACAACAATACATCACATCCATGCAAAAACTGACAAGTGAGCCTAACTTCAAGATAGTCACCTTAAACAACATGTGGATCTGATGTGCATTTATATAACATTTTTAAAAACAGGACATTACTTTGTCCTAATCTCACCCCCCATGCCCCTACTACAACCCCCCATAGGTCCATTAACGCATTAAACCTCCTTATCTGGGTCATCTCGCCTTCTTCACAAAACAACCCTTTACGGTCCTAAACAGCGCCCACACCAACCCCCACCCCAACCCGATCGAGCACACACACACACACACACACACACACACACACACACACAGATGGGACACTAACCCCTTTCTGTCACTAGGACTTAATCAACAGTAGCAAAAAACATACAGAAACAATAACAACTACATCTAATGGCAACTCAATAGGGAATTGCTTGGAGCTCCTTAATGTCTCTTCTGCTCCCTTCAGCTCTGAAATACACACCAAATGAACATTTTAAGACAATAGCGTTGTAGAGGGAGAACATAGTTCCTTTTACATTCTGATACAACACGAAGTAGCATTTAAAATAACATCACACAGTTTCCTTATGCAAGCATCGCATTTCAGACTCTCAGAGAATGAGACAGCCACTGTATCAAAGCCTCATTGAACATATCTTCCACTACATAATGGAGTGTGTTTTTGTCTCTGGCATGCTACAGTATGACTTCCTGGTTCCCCTCCGGTCCAGCACTGTCACTAACAAACAGGGAGATGCATGACGCCACACAGCGCTCAGATCCACATGACCTCCCCTGAGGGGAAACCTTGCCGATGGAGGGGAACGTCATAAGGGACAAATCTTTAATTAAGTGGTCAGTCAGTCAGCTTCCTCGACAACTGTTCAACTAAATAGGAGAGAGCTAGGAAAAAGGTGCTGTTGTGTATGAGCAAAAGCATTTACAGGCATACAGCACCTGGCCCATAAATAAAAGCACAAAATGCATGCTGTGACTGGATGCTATTTACTATCATGACACGCATCTGCTGCTCATGAGTGTATACATAAATGATGGGAGACTGTAACTGGGTTGTAAAGCACCATGGGCCCAGGCTAACAGCTCCGGTGCTCAAAACTTCCCCTTAAATGCTTCACATTAACGTGAAGAGGACCATACGCACAGCACTAAACAGAGCAAACTGACAACACAGAGCTGAACCATTTCATTTAGATAGGTTGGGTTTTTACCATATTGCTTTTTTTTTTTTACACATTAAAAACATGTCAAGAATACTGTAAAATATTAAGAGCAAAATGTATGTAAAGTATCAAAAGTATTTATTAGACAGTAGAATTACTGATGTGTCAACATGTGAGCAGTATTTTCATGTTGCGGCCGGTCAAGTTGTAGATTTTAACATTATGTATGATTCTATCATCAAATTTTATTAGCTGATTAGAAATAGTAACTAGTTAGTAGTTGTACTGCTGGATAATTGTAGAGGTGTAAAAAGTAAAAAGTGGCATAAAATGGAAATTCTCGAGTAAGTGCAAGTATGTTAAAACTTAAGTACTGGAGTAAATGCACTTATTTACTTACCACCACTGTAAGTGTGGAAAGCGGTGGAAAGTAAATATTTAGTAATTGGTAATTTTTTGGACAAATCCCTTCATAGTGCTCTGCGTGTGTCTACAAACCTTCTATGAAACCTTCTCTGTTTACCTCAACACTTTTTGATCCCTTGCCAGTACAACCCTAATATGCTGAGCCCATCTTAGGATCAGAGAAAACAGATGGCATCAGCCTGATAGTTGTTGTGTCACAAACAAAGTGAAACAACCAGCTGCCAGCTTCTCCAGGCTCGAAGCTTGGAGCTATAGTGAGGAATGGGATATGGGGTGGAGTACCGAGGACACAGACAGTAGGTAGAAGACATGTTACCAACCTGAAAGCAAATGTAGATGAGGAAGGATAAGCAGACACTTTTTCTTTATGTCTAGGATGCCCCTTCTGGATCTGAGTGGAATAACAACAACAATTTCACACTCCATCGCTCTCTAATCTTCCCATAATTCATTTCTAGTTCAAATTAAACCAAGAGCAATAGTATCTGTTGTGATTCATGTTTTCAGATTATGTTCTCCCTATTAAGTTTATCATCTGGCAACATCTTGTCTTACCATGATTTTAGTGCATAGTTTTCTATTAGCTGCACGCAGTTTCGACTGTTTCTTGCAGTAGGTGTTCCAGCTTTCTTCATCAAAACCATAGTTAAAGTAATCTGAGATGTTAGCACCTAAAAGCAAAGCACAAAATAGTAATGAACAAGTCTGCATATACAGTAATTATTGACTACACAGTTGCACTCAACAAATGCACACAGAGAGAACGCCATGGAGAGAATCACCCACATCTACAGGCTCTAAGTCCACTTCTTACCAGCCTTCTCCCATGGTGTCTCCTCTGTATTTGCCATCACTGGGATGTCTTGGATGCTAGCCATGTCTGGTCTCTCTGTATTGTCAACTGTGAAACATTTGACAGGATTTATTCAAGGTGTGTGAAAGAGACATCTCAGAATTGTGACAGGTATATTTGCCAAGAATTTTAATGTAGAAGATAATCACTTATTCATTTTTAATAAGGCCATGGGACATTTTTTTTAGACATCATTAAACTGCTTCAGTTTAATGATAAAGCTAATGTTGATGGTGGTGTAAGGAATGTGCAAAAGTCCACTTTTTAAGGTCAAATATTCCCTGGGTCGTCTGAGCAGTCAACTTGCTGTTTCATTAAAGAGCTATATTGAAATTAGGCCGTACTATTAAGAGGTTAAAAGTTCATTTCTTTGCTGTTTTAACAATAGGAAAATGCATGAACTGGGCATTTTTGGAGGCTGAATGCTTATCAGTCGGTTGTTTAATGAATTACAAAAGAAATACAAAGACATTCCTGGCTGTTTTTGTGCTTATGTGTTTGTATGTGTTGACAGTGTGTCAGAGCACCTACTTACCAACTGCATGTGTCTTTTCAGCATCAATTTTCAGATGCACAGGTATAGCCCCAGAACTGCAGGAAAACAAAAGGGCACACACATTGTCAACACAGTTATCTCCATCATCATGACATTAACTTGAACATTGAAAAACACTGCTGTTTGAGTTGAGAGCCGATAACCTAATTTCAGATAGCACCTCCACATGCAAGACAAATAGATCACAAAAAAACAAAACAACGAAAATATCTCAAAGCTGTATTTTGACAGAAGTGGGTTCCTGACAAATAATGCACATTCATATTATGCCCAAAAGGCAAACAAACACAATAAAAGGCTGAAACATTCAACATTATATTGTCAGAAGATGGATAGTGAACAGTTATACTGTCATATGCTTGGCTGCATGGTTGCACAAAAATCATTGTATTCATTGGCACTGTCATTGTCACTTCTCATCATCTTGGACAGCTTTCAAATTACCCCATAAAAGATGCACATGAAAACAATACTAGTATCCACTAATATGTCAAAAAGCAGTTTATTTGGCAGGTGTTGTGACAAAAATACAAAATAATGTGAATAGTACATATGAGAGCTGGAGCAGTCTAGCTATTTTTAGCTGAGCTGAGGTAGCTCAGACTACCCTTATTACAGGCTAAGTGCCCACTTTCATAGTTTTTTTTAGGGAATGATATTACATTATTATTAAAAAAAAAAAAACAGTTCAACAGCTAGTTACTGCTTGACACAAAGGCAAACACGATTAACCTATCTGAAAAGAGGCACACCTTTATTTATAGAGATAGCTTATGCTCAGCAACTGTTCATGTTTTGCTCATATTCTTAAAGTGGATCATTCTAACCATCAGGCATCAGGGATTTAAGTAAACCAAAAACAAATACACTTGACTTTGAATACCTTACACATCCAATTTAAGTCACAAATACAGAAAAAGACTAAAGTCACACACACAAAAAAGTACAGTTGTTCCAATACCAATACAAGTATCGTAAATTCCTCTGATACTGCCTAAAATGTATCGGGTATGTATCGGGTATCGGGGGGTACTCGTGTCTCTGTTCTGTCTGTTACTTCCCAGCTGTATTCCATTTGTCATTTTTTCCCCAGGATAGCGCAGTCATGACCCGCCATACTCTGACTCTGGCGCTGACAGAGGGTTTAACCTGAGCTAGGCCATACGACAATGATAGCGATCATACAGGCTTACTAGTATACACTTGTTAAAAACTAATAATATACTCTATATCTTAATGCACATGTATCCGATATTCAAAGTTTAGGTATCGGAATCGTATCAGGGTGGCAAAAAATGGTATCAGAACATCTCCACAAAAAACAAGACTATTGTTGAAGCTTTGGTGAGCGTTACAGTAAGTTACTGTAATTGTCAGGCTATGCTACATTTACTCTGAGGCAAAGAGGCCGGAGAATGCAGACCACAGATATCGTCAGCGCTCCGATTGTGTGATTGCTCACATCCACATTTCCCAGCTCACAAATAAACACTGCTCGTCTGGCAGCAGGTTTAATGAGCATTAAAATACTTCTTAATGTTCCACATGACTGGCTGCACATTTCAGGCACACATGTATTGTGCAACTATAATGATCACTGTCATTATTGTACCGTGAAAAGTGTTTTTATGTCTGAATAGTTCATTACTGTAACGCACTCGGTTCAAATTGGATATGAGCATGCCATCACAGTGCACTCTGAATATATTCACCGTTCACTGTCACTAATAATCGGTGTGCTTTGAACTTCTCAAACCTTAGTTCAAAGTGAGGGAGGTAAGGGAGAATTATATAAGTGAGATAGGTGAATAAACAGTATTAATAGTCTCATATCATAAATATCCAGGGGTTTTACTGAAATGTAGTGTTATGCCTATAACATTATTTTTGACAGGTATTCATATTAAAAGTGAAAAGGTTGCGATCATGGCAAATACAGTGGGACCAAACACAATATGACACACAGTATACACACCTGGGTGGGGTCTGAACCTTCTCTTTTTCTTCCTTGTCACCTGTGGTGCTCATGTTATAAATCACTTAAACACACAGACATGGTTAAAACATTTAGAGAATAAACAATAAATAAATAAATATGCAGCTGACCTGTTTAAACCTAAGTTAATATAACTTATAACGTTACTGTTAATGGTTTACACTTACATCGATATATTTGTTCCTCTTCATCTTCATCTTCATCTTCGGTGACAACTTTGGAGTCTGACTCCGATGAGGACATTTTAATATATTAAAGGACGTTTGAAACAAACAAACAAACAAACAAACAAACTAAATAATAGCTATGCTAATAGTAATAGATGTCTAAATAAAGTTATTGTGGTCCTGTCCGTATCAGTACAACTGACAGTTTAAGGTGTTTCTATGGAGACAACTAAAGGAAGTGAGCTCATGTCTCATAAACCCAGCCCTGTCATTGGTCAGAAATTGTCTCGTGCTGGGTTGGCCAACTGACAGCTAACGTTAGCTCAACCGCTGGGACAGGTTTGAACGTTGTTTTTAACGTTTTTAAGAATTGAGTAACGTTATATAACCTTTGAATTATTTGTTTCATTTTCAGCCGTTGAAATGTCGTTTATAGTAATGGCAGTGGATTCTACAGACTCAGTCATAAAATGAAATACCCAAACATTCATCGATAAATCTGTAAAAAAAAAAAGTGCACTTTATCTACTTCTTGCGAGTTGCTGGATGCTGGCTATTGCCATAGCAACGAGTTAAAGCTTGAGTGACGTGTTAATGCTGCGACGCGCGATTGCCACGTCACCTTTGAGAGACTCGTGTGTTTGTTTTGGTTGGGAGCTAACGTACTTTAGCTGACATTTCTGATGTGTCTTTGATTCCGTTGCGTTTAGCTCACACTGACAGCTGGCGACATGCTGACGACGGATGATTTCACGCACTTCCCGCTCCAGATGTGGGAGAAGGTGCTGTCGAAGGTAAAGAAAGCTGTTGTTTTTATGGACGACAAGTGTGCAGAGGCTCTACATTGGAGCGGGGGTGCTGCCCTCCTGTTGGAGGCTGGAGCCAGAAATTTAAAAGAGTTTTCGAGCTTTGAAGCCTGCGCTGCGAATGAACCGAAAGCCGTGTTTGTGGTGAGCACTCTGTTGAAGGGCAGAACAATCGACATCATTAAAGACATCATATCCCTCAGTCACTTCCAGTACTGTGTTGTCATCACCACCGTGGCTCACTCCGTGCACCTGCTCGCCAACAATGTCACGACAGAAATGGAAAGCAACCCTGTGTTTGAGCAGTTTGAGGAAAAGCTGTGCGAGTGGATGGGAAACATGAACTACACGGCTGAAGTCATGCATGTCCCAGTGGTGTTCGCCCCTGTATCACAGCAGCTACTCCTCACACCCATGTTTGCTCACCTGTTTCCCCTGCTCTCACCTGATCTGGAGTCAATAAATGCAAAACGACCAGAGAAGAAGAGATTTGGAAGCCTGGTTGATGTAGACGTGCACTCTCTCCCGGTTGAACTGCAACTTGAAATCAAGTCCTTGGCTGCAGTTTTGAATTCAGTGTTTGAGGCGACAGGCACCAGGGAAGAGAGTTTTGCTGTGGGTCCAATGAGCCGCATCATAGCGGGGGAACTGGCCAATCACCCTCAAGCCAAAAACCGAAGGAAGACAGCCCCTAATAAAGCATCAATCATCTTTGTGGACCGAACAATGGATCTCACAGGTGAACTCTCCCTGCTTTTTGGATCATATTGCACCAAATCATTCTGCACAGTGCAGAACCCTAATCACATCACAGTCATGACCCTGTCTGCTCTCCTGTGTAGTATTTGTAGCTAAAACTGCCAAAAGAGTGTTCCTATGACTGCTATTCAGTATAGATTCACATACTGATGTGTCACTGACAGTTGTTATTACATACTGAATAGATATTTGGACATTTTTAGTTCTCCATTTCTTGTCTCTCAGGAGCTGTTGGTCACCATGGAGACAACCTGGTGGAGAAGATTCTGACTGTGCTCGAACCCTTACCTGGTCATGTGACAGACGTACAGGTGGACATGCTGGAGCTCACAAGTCTGCAGCGAACCCCTGACTCCCAGACCACCCTGGCCCCTGGCTGTCTCGCACAGACCCAGTGAGTGCATCTCTGATGATTGTTTTAACCAAAGTTCATTTAGAGAAATATTCATTTTCTTTTTAATTGGTGTCATATATGTACACACAGCTGTTATCACCTAACTGAGAGACTTGGCTTGAAAAGACTTTTATGAGTGGCAATCATTTATTGCATTTCTTTTCAGCCATAATTTGAAACTATATATTTAAAAAAAATCTTAAACATGACCCATTAAACAGAGGAGACACATGAATATTAAGAAAATATGAGTGCACATCATCTATGAAAGAGGTAAATAAAACAAGATAAGTAAAGAATAGAAGCAAAGTAAATTGAATACTTTGGGGGTTTTTGGGGACACTTTTCCTTTTTTTTTTTTTGGGACCAAACGATTAATCAATAATGAAAATAATTGTTAGCTGTGGCCCTACTCTTTACCCCAGTAATAATTACAGTCACAGTCATTCACTCATTCATGCATTCTTTTATAACTTATAGCATAAGATACAGCCAGAGAGAGAGCACAACACACTAGTGGAAGTTTGCAACTTATTGTCCAAATAATTTAATATATATATATTTCTTTTTTTTAAGAATAACAAACCCTGATGTGGCCTGTCTTTGTGGAGTTTGCATGTGCCCCTATGTTCCTGTGTGTGTTTCCACTGAGCGCTCCAATTTCCTCCCAACTTCCCATGTAGGTTAGGTTAATTGGAAACTTTAAATTGCCTCTAGCTGTGAGTGTGGATGTGAGTGTGAACAGTTGTCTGTCTATGTGTGTTATGGTTAAAATCCTTTTTAAGTTTAGTTTAGTTACTCAGGAGCATAGCAAATGTTTTGTTACCCAACTCCCCATGGGATATTTATTCTCTCTGCATGGGATGAATTCTTGTCCACTGAATAGGGATGGGTTTAGACAGCATTTCATGGACTATAAATATAAAAAATATACAGTGTGTACTGTGATTATTTCACTCAGCATCATACCTAAACCAGAGATGAACAAATCTTATTTTACCAACTTGGAACCAGATCCAAAATGGAACTCCTACCACTGACACCCCCACAATATACATTTTTACATACTTTTCCCACCTGGCCAAACACACATATGAACAAACACACACTCACCAGCCCTCAGTGAGTGAGTTGAGTGGCACATGACCAGCATTGTGCCAGTTGCTCAGTGAAGCTTGCCTGTAGTCTTGGCTGTGCAGATGCACGTGTTAGGCGCCTGCGGTGGGGCTGTTGTACATGGCAGGGATTAGTCCTACATCATGTGTTCCACTCCCGCTTTGCCCCTTCATGTGGTTGCAGGAGGAAAAGGCTTTGACTGAGAAGAAGAGTTTTGTGGCCAGAGCTGTCATGCAGTATGTCTGACCATGTTCACAAACGGGCTTACACATACACTGAATACAGCGGAGAGCATTCTAAGCTAGGTGGGAGGTTCTGTTGTAATGGAACCAGTCTTACCCCTTACCCCGTGTTTGGACAGCGTGTACTGTAGCAGATAATACGAGCACAGCAGGGGCAGGTTGCACTGACCCCCGGATGCACCCCCTAATACATGTCTCAAGTCACTGTAGTTCTGAATATCTCAGTTGCACACACAGCTGACTAGCACAGGTTTCAGCAGGCGCTTGGACACAAATAGGCAGATGAAGGAGTGTAGCTGACAGTAATAAGTAATGTGGCATAGGGCTGTGGTTGTATAGAGTACGTGTCTGATTGGGGTCCACAGGATCAGCATTAGTGTTATTGCCTGTGTGCAATCTCGGAGCAGATGGCCCGGTTGAGCCTTATCACAGATATTTAGGAGATTGAAGTGCTGCCGAGGCACAGCAAGAGAGAAGCCTAGAGTTCCCACTTTATTTAACTGCCTTGAAGTGCGCCGCTCACCATAGGCAGAGTTTATGTCAATCACTCCAATATGTTCAAGACAGGGCTCTGCAAATGCATGCTTTAGCGTTAATCTCTCCAAATTCTGCAAAAGATACAAAAACACACATTTCTAAAATGGATTGTTTTCTTTGCGTGATGTGAACTGTGCAAAGCTCTAGGCGCTACTGGCTCTGTGTGGTTTGATTGTCTATATAATAAGTTCCCTCCTACTGTATGTTTATATACCTATGATTTGTTGAGCTATTTTTAGCTCAGACCACAGTGTGTTTTGATGTGTAGACCAGTTCAAGCCTTTAAATATTAGGTGTGTATCTACTTTGGACCTTTTGTATGATATTTCCCTCAGTAATTCCAGGATATTTTTATAGATTACTGTGTCTTAAACATTCTGTGGGTGGTTGTTGATTCTAGCTCTCCTGGCAAGACCCCACACCTACTTTGCAATTATGCTCGTATTGTCTTTCATAACCTGGTGTGAATTCTCCTGATCCTGCAACCTGACTTTCACTCTGTGGTTCTACTAATCATGCCACAGAGAAAGTGTACTTTGTGTGAGTGTGTAGGCGCATACACATGCTTACTTTGCCTGTGCTGGTTTTTGTTACTCCTGCACTTTGGCATTTTTTTTAAAGCCATTAAATTGTGCCAGGATGCACAGCTTGCTGTATATAGAAGGACGTTGAGTGAAAGTGGCAGTGGGAGTGTTCTGTGTGCCTGTGTATGTGTGTTTGTGGTCAGGTACCTTCCAGCACAGTCTGTGTAATTTGCTGTGCTTGGCTGCACAACCCTTGTGATCCTGAGTAGGACATATGAACCCCATTGGCAGAGGGCACCAAGTTTCCCTCAGTCTCAGACTGAACCCTGCACCCCCGTCATCTGGCCGCCTTCGACCTTGATCCTGTGGCGAGAGTGTGTGCATGTGGGCAGAACCGAGTACGGGTGGCCAAGGTGCTCTGGGCCTGCCTCAGGAGCTGCTGAGCTCGAGCCAGGCAGGGTAACCGACCGCACCCTGCCACGAGAAAACACTGCAAGGCTGCCATCCTCTCAAATCTGCCCAACAGCTCCTGCTTGTGTACCACCAGGAAGGAGGGAAAACACCTATTTCTGTCTCAGCTGGGAAATATGAGCATGAATAAAAAGCCATGCACGCTTATTTGAGTGCAGGCTGTATGGGAAAAGTAACAAAACAAGCAGAGATAGTATGGAGAGAGCAAATGACAGACAGCTGAGCACAGCTAACCCTGATTTTACCCCACCAAGAATAAAGAAGGGGAATGGAAACAGGCCACGTTCATTCTATTGTGGTTTGTTAAAGGGTAGGGATTGTTTTACTATACTTACTTATACTTGAAGTCTTTCAAGTGATTTATAGGCTAAACATCAACTCTATTCCAGTGTTACTTACAGTATAGTACAAGTTCCCTTACAGGCCTGCCTATTGAGCATGTTTTCAGGATTACAAGGTCTGTTTGAACAGGATATTGATTCTGGCCAAACATCGCGTTCCTTACAGTGTATTGTGACACAAACTTAATCCTTACAGTAACTGCTTTCCATGTTCCACTCTCAGCACAGTGGAACCTGCAGCTGATGATAAATGTTAGTGTGGAAAATTAATAGCAGTCCTTTTACCGTGTCGGAAGTAGAGACAGTCATTCAATATTCGATTTCTATCTGCTTTGCAGTTAATAGAAATCATAGCTATGTGCTTGCCGTACCTAAGTGAGAACCAATCTGTGCTTCTAGTGTTCAGTATTGCAATAAAGTGTGAAGATAAAATTTAAATAGTCTCAGTTGAATATTTTGAAGTCTTCTCCCACCACTTTAAAGATGAGAACCAACTCTCCCTCTAAGCCATATGCGTCACACAGTTCGGTTGCTTTCATCTAATCATTTATCGCACTGATTTTATCCAGACTACCCTAAAGGTCAGTGATAACTTGAATTATTTGCAAAATTGAGTTCATATCTGTCCATTTTGAGATGCAGGGGTTTAGCCATATCTTAGGATTCAGTGAGCTGACGTGTCCCCTGGTCCATTTCAGATGTTGTGTCTCTGTTTCTTCCGCTGCCTAATTCTTTTTTCCTCTCCAGTGTTAAAGGTATCACATCCTGAAACCCACAGTACATCAATCACATAGATTACTTTCACCTGAACAACTTGTACTTCGTGTTCCCATCAAGACTGAGATAACAAAACCTATTCTGTCTCGTATGCCGTCTTCTACTCTGTCATTCAATTTTCACTAGAGAACATGCTTCTTATTGGAGAAAATGTGCACGTTCATTTTATTCAGTAAGAGGATAAAACACCCCCAAAGATGGCACTCTACATCCTCCAGCCCATCTTCTTCAAAGAACCCCCACTGCTGGCTTTCATTTGAAATTAAAAACGATGCCAAGAGACATCAGTGGAGGAAGAGACTCCCATATCCCCCCCTGTAAAGATCCTTTCATTTCTCAGCTTCTCCCAAAAGAAGATATTATTTTACATGTGCATTTTACAAATCAAGCTGTATGCATTTTACATTTACATATGTTATGTACATATATGTATATAACACATATATAATGTGTATGTTATAATATACACAATTCTACTGTATAAATAACACATACACTTTTACATGTCACACCTCTAGTGTAAATTAAAGGAGATTTCCTACAGTTGTAAAAAACATGGTCGGTAATAACAGATGTATCTCCCCTCCTCTCCTCACTTCCTGCGGAACTCCTCTCCCTCTTTTTCTCTCCATAAATCCGCTAGGTCATTTGACCCCCCTTTGCCAGGACACACAGACACTCAAGGCCAGGTCTGGTTTTGGTCCACCTCTCTCTCTCTCTCATGTACTCATGTACATGGGGATGTTTACAGGAAACCGACAGTGTGTTTTGGCCCATTAAAAACACTCCATAAATTAACTCATTGAGGAATGGGACTGACCTTGCACAATTCTATTAGGCTGGATCTGTTGCACGTAGACCTGTTGGAAAGTACACAGATCATCTGAATCTGAATGCTTTTGCAGTCTGAATTGAGTGTGAAGTTTCGATGCTCTAATATTCACTGGAGAGTACTGCAGTTTGTGGATGTGACTTGTTGCACAGATGCTGACGAACTCCAAGAAATGTGTCAAAATTTTATGAGCTGTGGTCAGTTGTATGATGTTTCTCAGCTGTCCAAGTGAAAGGCTGTGTAGAACTGTAAAATTAAAGCCAATGTCTAGCCATTTGGATAGTTTAGATTTTCTTTGCAGAAATTTAAGATATCTTTGTCCCAGATTTCTGCCACCACTGCAATGCAACTGCTTTCAATTTAATTTCATTTGGGGCGCTCAGAACATTCAAAAATAACTTTTATCAGCATTGTGCCTTTATAGAAACAATAAAACAATTCTAGTTAATTCTCAAATTCAGACACCACAATTTTCATTGGAACATCTTTCTACACTCATTTTCTTTGTCCCTCCTGGTTGACTGCATTTTTAGTGATTTTTTACAGACTGATGGGACACCTGGAAAGAGGTATTGAAACATAATGAAAATTATGTTTGCGCGCAACAAAAAATATTCTATTCACCTCTGTTGTGTTGCAGTGGCAACATAAAATGAAATTAAATGAAAAAGTATGTAATTTCTAACTTGGGGGAACTGATCGTTAAAAGCAGGGATTTCAAACTGACATCCCCTGGGGCCATTTCCATCCCTCCATCCCCCATTCTCCATCCATGTAAAGTAAAAACACAATTCTGTTTTAAAAAAATTATTTAGTTTTTTTTCGCAAAGTAATGTCATATGTGTGCAAAGGGCTGATAAGATGAGAATACATTTTGGACCTTCATTTGTTGTTTGGCTGTGAACGATGCTGATGATGATTTTTACATAAAGAAACTGCTATACATAAGTAAGTTTGATGGCCCCAAGTCAGTGAGTTTGAGACCCCTGCTTATAAGACATTTCATCAATCATATGTATGTACTATGACTCACTTCTGAACCACGTCACAAACACCGAATTTTGAGGTAAATTTGCTTGCTTATGTGTTTGAGTGGGAGTAAAGAAACACTGAAATGTGTGTGCACATGTACGCATTTATATTCGACTCAGGGATGAGGGGCCCACAGGATGGGGAGTAAATTTAAGAAATCCTGAGTCAGAACAGTTGGAACAATTCTTTTCTGCTGGATCATACACTTCCAGGAATACTAACCCCCTCCTCACCCCATTAATGACCTGGACACATTCAGAGGTATTTCATCACTTTTAATGGGTACATATGTGTTAATTTTTTCACGTGTTATACACATCTTCCTTTAAGTTACAGTATTAGATGCTTAACTGCCTTTTAATGGTACGGCACTCATTACACATCTAGTGGAATTTAGTCTGGGCACAAACACCCACACACTCCAAACACACACCCACTCAGCCTGTCCAAGCAGGACATCCACTATGGTGCACACAAGTCAAGTGCAAGAGTGCCCCCTTCAGTCTGTATCTAGCATCCTTTTCAACAGACAGAGCCACACTGCACTTAACGCTCGCAGATGACCAAGCACACGTGGCCCACACACCCAGCCCCTCCCTCTTTCTCTTCCATAGTAGAGTAGTTACTCAACAGAGTTCCTGGCTGGCCAGTCTCACACTCTGCCGATATAAACCTTACCCCTCACCCCTCGCTCCAGCTGAAACCCACACCTTGGTCTGACCAAATGGCACAGGGACAGTGTCAGGGGGAGTGGGCCATTTGGGGGGCAGGGAGGGGGAGAGCGGGTTGTTGTGGGGGAAAAAGCTAAATTAGAACCATATTTCATCCACACTCTACCGAGGCTCTCCGTCTTTCAAGAACACACACGGATGCACAAGGCTTGTATGCAAACATATACAGATGCATGTGCACGCATACAAACACACACATGGCTTGCCAAGTCACACTATTGGTATTTCAGCCATGACAAGTATGTGGAACTTCACGGTTTGCGTAATCGTAGCCATTCTAATACTTCATCAAGTGCGTGGGAGTTGTTTTCTGAAGGATTAAGAGAAGTGTTTTCCAGAAATTACATAACAACGTCATAACTCTTGACCAATTGCTGCAAAGCTCTACCTTGTATTCATGTCTCAATCACAACTCAAGCAAACCATGAGATTGTAATTAAATGTCATTTATTTATTTATTTATTTTACTGTATCAGTTTTTACATTAGACTCTTGTCCTTGGGTGAGTCGTGTTTGCCGGTCTTTGTGTCTGGTTCTAGTGTGAAGATGGCGGGCGTCCCAGTGTGAGCCCCTCTCCTCCCCATCTAGCCCCAGCCCAAGGTCTGGAACAGATTACATCTGATATTAAACACATGGCAGCAGTTAGAAAGGAGAAAAGGCGAGAGGAGAAAAAAGTTTAAAAAAAAAGAAAAGAAAAACAGAGTGGATTTGTCAACGAGCTCCCTCCTACCTTCCCTCTCTCCGTCCTGAGCCCCTTTTCTCTCTTTGTGTCTGTCTTGCTTCAGTTTCTGGTCACTCCTAAGAGGACGGGGAAAATCACCGCTCATGTCAGTCTAGCCGTCAAAGGGACAGAGATGTAGCTATTGATGCCCTTTTATCCAGCAGACAAAGTGTCAGTGCCTTTTAACAGGGCAAGAAATCAGAGAGTAGACCAATGGAGACAGAGATATACAACATGTTCGTAACTTGAATTCAGATATAAGAGACATTTTAGAAGAAAAAGTGTCGCTCTCTGTGAAGCTATTGATGATGAAATGCCTCAGTGACACTCTTTTGATTCTTTCATGGAAAGACTTGAAGCTGTTTCCACTGCTCATGGCAGATGGTAATAGTCTTACACACATGCCTTGTCCTCAATCTCCCATTAGGGATGTGGATCAGTGTGTTTCATAACCTAGCGGATAATGAGACGAGGGACTGAGATGGTATCTAGAGGAGTCTTGGTCTCCAGACTTGTTTTGCCACTGATGTAAGGACAGCACTGATCAATCCAGAGAAATGTTGGAATACAGACATTTGAGGTGGATTGAGAACATTCCTGCTGTTCCCTTTGCTAATTTCAGCTTTTTCCTGTGAGGGGTCCCATAGGGGAGTCACCACTCCCAAACCAGCAGGCTCTCTATCACTGAGACGAGCACCCAATCACGTCCGTGTTGTCCTTTGGTGTTTATACAACACAAGTCCTTCATGCTCTGAACAAATGGCAGGAGCAGCAACAGTTGCTCAGCTTGTTAGTGCTGAAAATCACTTTACATCTTCTACTACAGTGTTTTTCCCCTCTTATGAATAAATTGCCTTTTTGATTGTTTTACCTACCAGGTCAACTGCAGCACAGTCACTATGGGAGGCCATGCTGACCAATAAACATAAAGAGGGGGTGATGGAGGTCCGTCGGCAACTAGTGGAAACAGCCAGCAAGGAGAAGCTGCCAATCAAGATGAGCATGGGTAAGAAACAGAATGTCGCACATGGAACAAAATGCAATCTTGTTTCCCATTTAAAAAAATAAAATTTTATTTTAAAAAAGCACAAATTCACACCAAACACAGGAAATAAAAATGAATGAACATTATGAAATAGCATCATGGGTAAAAACAAAGATTCTTAAAGAGAAAAGGTGTGTGTGAACGCTATAGTGTTTTGGAGGAGAACCATAGAGCATCCTACAGAGATCCAACTTCTCTGTGTTGCCCCGTATTTGCCCATGTGGCCACAGAGGAAATCTGAACCACATGTTGGCTCTATTCCACTCACTCACACAGACACACACACACACGTGCACGCTGCTTTTGAAAACTTTTGTTGTTTGTTAATGAAGCGAGGGATAAAAATATGTGTAGGCACGCAAAAAAAAGTCATTACATGCACAAGTACACAGTGCCCTCATGCACGTTCACCTTCATGCTACCCTCTGACTCACATAGGTAATTGTACTGCGCACACACATGCACACACACACACACAGCTAATATGCATGTTAGCATCTGGCAGAAAAGGGTTGGGGTTAAAAGGGAGGGGCAGTGTGGTCCCTCAGCTCCTATAATCTGTGAGGTAAAGAAGGTCTTGTCTCTTAACAAGCAGGTTGTAATATGTTGGAGGTCACACACACACATACACACACACCCCACACACTCTGCCAGGCATCTGCATACACACAGAGGTTTTCTTTCACACATTTGTGCTAAACAGCAGACCTTCTAATTCTGGATGGCTGCTTCACTCTGGCTGGATTCATTTAGAAAAATGCACAACAACAGGAGTTCAAGCTGCAGAAATAGAAGGAATAAAAAGATGGAGAGTGACTGTAAAAGCAAGAAAGTATGAAGAAGGTGTAGCGTAAGTTGCTCCCGCCTGCTGACTGACAGTCTGTTGACTTAATGTCTTCCCTGAGAGAAAGAATAAGAGAAAAGCAAGGAGAGAAGCGGGCACAGCCAGACTCCTCACACACTGAACCCTTATACCCCACTGGCAGAGGACCAGATTCCACGAAGCCCCCTGAGCTCCTCAGCGCACCCCCACACAGTTCCCATCCTGCCCACCAGCACCACCAGCAGCGTTCTCAATCCATCATGCTCTGCTCATATGAGACCAAGCTAAACCCGGTAACACAAAACGCTTAGCATTAATACCTATCTGCTGTCTCAGTGCCCGCTCACTCGCAGAATTTTCCACTCGCACCCCAACACACTCTCACTCTGGTTGGTTTTTGCAGATCAGTGGAGGAAAATACTGTATCAGGATCCTCCAGGCCCTGCATTCTCACATACACACTAACCCAACTTGGCGTGTTTTCATCTCAACAGGATAAGATCATCCAGAGAGAGACAGAAAAAATAATCAATTTCTTAGAGCCTGAGTATGACCCGTCAGGTTTCTCATAGCACAATTGGATGATGAAATTCCCTTGCTGTGTGTGTGTGTGTGTGTGTGTGTGTGTGTGTGTGTGTGTGTGTGTGTGTGTGTGTGTGTGTGTGTGTGTGTGTGTGTGTGTGTGTGTGTGTGTGTGTGTGTGTGTGTGTGTGTGTGTGTGTGTGGTTGTGCAGAGTCCAGTGTTTATCTTGGGTGTTTTTGCTCTTAGCAGGGAATTAGTTAGACAGCTTTGGTTTCATCGTCCATAAATGTGTGTTTATCTGTTCATCTGCGTGTGTGTGTATGTATGTATGTATGCATGCATATGTGTGCGTCACATGGTTATACAGTTTGTGTATATATTATGTTCACTGATACTGCAGTGTAAATGAGATGTGTTGACGGGGCCTTTCTTCCTGTGGTGCAGTCCTTTAACAGCAGAGAGGAGTGAGACTCAAGCAGACAATTGATTGCATTCATCATTTCAGGCAGTGAGATTAGGGAGAGTGTAATATGAAAATAGTTTTAAATAAGTATTCATATTTTTTACTGTATGATCTTTCCCTTTTTATCTTAATTTAAGATATTTTTTTAATTTAGACAGTCAGAATGTGTTGTATTAAATGGCAAAAGGGCTTTGCACACACTAATTGATTAATGGCTTTCTTTCCGTTTTATTAATAAATATAATTCTGTAATTTATTAGGACAAATGGAACGCAACTTTTGGGGCCTTAAAAGTTTTTTCTCAACTTTCAACAAGCAAATGAATGAAAATATTATCATAATGTCTGGCCATTTATTTCAGTGGAAAACCGCAATAATTACAGTAGCAGACTGTCAACAACAATGACAACATAGATTAACAAATGTGTTTTAGTTGGATCATGTAAATCATGAAACAACTTAAAGGGTCTCTGTTACATTATGACACTTCCAGTCCAAACCTCTCAATCACATTCTCAACGTTTTTGTTATTGTTTTGTAAGAACAGAAAACGAAACAACAGTATGAATACAAGAACAGGTCTCTAATCAGATCAGATGTTATTTGTGATGATTAAAACTTGGTCTTTTGGATGTGCTATTGTGCTGTTTTGAACTGTGTCACAAAAACATGCTTTATACATTGAATACAATGTGCAGCAATGTCAGTTAGTCACCCAGTTCCACAGGTTGAATCACCCTTGGTGACCCTTCCTCTAGCTCCAACGTAAGATTTAAATACGTTTTGCTGCGTGTCATCCCCTCTCTCTCTGCCCCCCTTTCCTGTCTGCCTTCAGCTGTCACTATAATAAAGGCAATAAAAGCCCAAAAAATATACTTAAAAAAAAAAAAAAGAATACAAGTCCAGTAACAGAACTAAATCATTCTTGGCCCCTGCCCTTTTTTGCATTATTCAGGACTTTGATCATGGCCGAGCTTCAATTGCCACTTCTGCACATCAGGCTAAAATGGGCAGCAGCTCAAACTGTTTATAGCATGGGACTGAAAATGTGATTTGTTTTATGGCTGGTCCTGCAATAAAAGCAATTAAAATGGCCCAAAGGTTCAAGTTTCTACTATCATCTTAGGTGAAGCGACAAGGACTGCAGTATTTTATATACCTGAAGACCGCTGGGCGTAGGGCACCAGTGAACAGAACTAAGAACAGAACAGAAATATGCTGATTGACTTGACCACAGTTTAAACTGTAATATAAAAACTGGCTGGTGTTTTCAGACACCAGAAATTAATGGTGTATCTTTCAAGTCAGTGAAATGAACGGAAAAACACAATAGGCCTACAATGTATAATTAAAAACTAAAGCTGGTATGGAAAAGTCCATTAAAGGCAAGTACAGTGTACAGTCTTAAATTATTAGAGGCTGAAATCAAGAACCTTTCCAGCACTGCTGTTAATGTAGAAACACCGTAGTCTGAAACCATAGCTCAGCTGACAGATCATCTCCCTGAGATTCATTTTGCATCTGGCAACAAGATGCTTGAGGAATCGCAGAACTGTTTTGAGGGAAGTTTAGTGGCATAGATAAGAGCTGAGGCTTAGCCAGCGCTGTTTGATTGTGTAATCGAGAACAGGCTTTTGTATGGCTTTCTTGTCTTAAGTTCTTCTTTCTGTTTTTTCCAATGTCTTACATTTTCTCACTCAGTCTCATATGATCTACCCAAGCTGTAAAGTCTGATTATATTTGGCCTACAGTGTGCCATTCTTTGGTTGCCTATTCTTGGGTGAAATTATGCTTGGCACTTGCTTTGGACGTATTTCCTGGTTCTGTGCTGAATTATGGTTGGCACATCAAACTTAGCGAACCTTAGTTATAATGCCAGGATTTTATGGCTGGATATGTTCACAATAGAGCTTTTCAGGATTTTGAATGTCTGGACTGAAGCTTATTCTTCAAAAATACTTTAATTTCAGCAAGAAACTTAATTCTCTCTTATAGACAATTGCTTCATAATACCCATACAGTGAATGTCACACAGCACACTGACTCTTTCAGTTCAGCTTGGAAACTAGTTTCCCAACAGGCGGGCAGGAATGTATTTTGTTGTCAGGTCTACTTATCAGCTTCCAAGAAAATTAGTTTTTTTGTTAGTAGCTTCCCTGGATGATTCTCTCCATTATTCTTTCTGAAAATATTTTTTTTATCCAAAAAAGAATTTTTGTTATCCAAAAAAATATATTGTTTTTACATTTGTTAAGTGCCATGACTCCATATTGTATCTAGTATTCTGAAGCTTTCTGCTCAATTTTTGTGTCCTGCCTGTCTGTTTCTCTTCTAGTCATGTGTTTGGCCCCGCTAAAGAAAACATTGGCCATGTAGTCCAACAGGAAATACTCCCACATCTGGTGCTGGTTCAGAACATCAACATGAAGAAGTAGGCTTTATGGGGAGTTAATGTGTGCCCTCGCTCTATCCCAGCCCCTGACACAGCCCCTCGTACCTCCAGGCCACCCTGCACATCCCCCTTCTAGCTCCTTACACGCTTTACGCTGCTCTTCCTGTGTCCCTGTGAATCTTCGCGGGAGGGGCGTGGGGGGAGACAGAGGGTCCCAAACAGTGTGAGGAGTCTAGTCTCTCTCTGCTGCCTCTATAAATGTCTGATATCACTCACACTGTTATCACACACATAACAGGCTCTCAGGAGCTCTTATCAGTGTTGCTGACCCATACACAGTGATGTTTAGTCATATACTCCACCTGAAGCTTGCACATACAAAGAATATTGCTTCCTAACTGGCTCAGCCAAACACGCATATACACTCTGCACAGCCCTATTGCTTTTTCTCCCAGCCTGTGGGGTTCTTGCTCATTAAGATAATATTACAGTCTGTTTTGGTATCAGTCATTCCCCTCTGCCCTAAGCTGAGTGTATGATAGTTATTAAAACGGCTGTTATGCTTGGAAAAAGGTTGTCTATTTATTCAGTTTCCACACTCCGCTCTTCCCATCAGGAGGAATAACTATGTGTGTGTCCCTTGCAGCTTTGTACATTTTTTATTTATTTACCAGATGGCACACATAAGAGCATTAGGCCAACAGTCAGAGTACATTTGTGGATTACACATACTGTATGATGTATTTTGACCAATATTAATTGATACATTTGTGATGGCTCTAAATTTCTCCCCAGATAATAACAGCATCTTCTTCCCCCCTCTCAGGCCGTGTGACCCCCGAGCAGCTTTGCTCCTACGTGCAGCTGTTCCGGAGCAGTTGGGGGTCACTAGAGAATCACTGCGGGGTGCTCCAGCTGGGCCTTGCCACGGCCCAAACACTCCGCCACCCCAGCCTGCCCCGCTGGGATGCCTGTCTGGCGTTCGAGAGGCTGCTGCTGCAGGTCCGTACTCATCTTACACAAACCTATTATCCATATGTGTTACACGCGATGAAAAGTGAAAAGCCTCCTCTCAGAATGGGATATTCTCCGCTTAAACAATGTGATACCAGCTGTGGCAGAAAGACTTTTTTAACTGCAAAACAACATTTCAGATGCAATCAATTCTTTTTTTTGTAATATTAAGGAACATGGCTCAAATAACTTAAATGTCCAGTGTGTAACATTTCGGAGGATCTGTGGGCAGAAATATAATATTCAGAGGTATGTTTTCATTAGTATAAAGTCACTTAAAAATAGGAATCATTGTGTTTTTATTACCTTAGAATGAAGTTTATATCTACAGATGTCACGCGTTGCCTTTCATGTAGGCCGCCATGTTTAACTGCCATGTTTCTACAGTAGCCAAGAGCGGACAAACCAAACACTGGTCCACTATGCAACTTATACACATTTGATGAAGAAACTTGCAGCCACCAGTGTACATACACTGAGAATGGATTTTACAACAAACAAACAAACAAAAGTTGTATATTCATAGCTTCTGGAATTTTAAATGAGGTCTTGAGTCCAAATGAGTCTTTTAATGTGGAATTATACATTTTTTACAGAAAATAAAACACATCAGACACATTATTGTTCCAGGCAGACTATTTGTATATAGGTCTTAATACGTGACTGGAGGGGATCGTTAAAGAATTCACACGTTGTTTTAAAATTATATCCTAAGCAATGTAACATTGACAGAGTTAAGTAGAAAAAATGCACATTCATTGGCAATTTGTAATTAACTTGGTAATTATTCTTTCACATCTTTGCCTTCGGGTAAATATTTTATTACCAAAGCTCAGCAGGTAAGGGGGTGCTTGTGGTTCACTAGATGGTGGCCAGAATGTTGTGTTAAACTGACAGAGACAGGAAAAAACGCAGATTCCTCTCCTTCATAAACAAGGTCAGTTGTGTTTGTAGGGAAAACATTCGGATCCAGTAAACACTGCAAAAATGCCAGATTTCCATCATGTTGTTTAGAGGCTATTTAGTTCAGAGAAGGAAGAGGTCTAGTTTACAGGGGTGGACGTAGGCGGATGTGCACGTTTGTTTGACTGTGGAAAGGTCATAGAGCAAGTCTGATGAAGAGACAGTGACAGAGGGCAAAGTGTAAGAATAAATCAAAAGCCAGACCAGCCAGTCATCAGTTGTTTACATCAGCTCCTTAGCCGTGATCAGCGGATATTTTAGGAAATATCTTACACACAGCACCGAGCTAAATGGCGCCATACTCTGCACCATGAGCTAACTAATACGAAAGCCATTTCCTCCTTCTCTTACCTTGCTATTTTCATTGAGTCTCTTTATATTCCTGAAGCTGTAAAGCAAGCAGTAGGACAGCAGTATTTAGGAACTTATTAAACTAAATCACGGAAAAATAAAACAAGCTCGCAGCAGTGCCCCATGCCAAATTGGAATTTGAAAACAACCTCATAAACCTTGGTCCTCAGCTGGGGCCATCGTTGCTTTATTAAATAAAGGAAGAAGACTTTAGGGCTTATATTTCCAGTATCCATTTGCTTCATGACTCCACTTTGATCCACTCCCCCATGGTCGTGTACCATACCTGGATTTTTCAAAGTACAACTTTCTCACCACTGGTTTTTTGTTTCGGTCTCATGACTACAGGGCTTTTTGGTGGACAGGTGGAACTGGGTCTCGTTAAACTGATGACTGGTTAATAATGACTGTTATTGTGTTCAGCATTAGGATGGTATATATAGCACTTGGCCCAGGTTCAAAATGACTTTCTTCAAGAATCAAATCTCACAATCAGGCCTTGAGCATGATGTGAGAGTTGGTGTTTGCAATCAAAACGGGCCTGAGTTTTATTGAGGTATTAAGGGAAATGAGTTGTGTGTCCTCTGTGCCCCCTCTGTTTATTTAATTTCCATGTGAGGTTTTTTTTTGTTGCTTTGGCTCAACATGGACAGAGTGAAGTTAATTACATTACAAAATGGCGGGATGAAATGCCTTTCAGCTCTGGCTGGCGGTTGGCCTGTGTTTGCTCTGCCTGAGTGTGTGAGGGCTGCTGTGGGTACGACTGGGCAGAGCTGGACGCTCCATTGCTGGTGGGCAGTGTGAGTTCATTCAGGCCAACTCCTCCGTGGTGCATTGGGGCCTTAGAGTGGGCAGTAGCCGTTTTGAGGCAAAGGGCCTTTGAGTTCAGGGCCTAGTTTATGCCTTACCCACAGTTACACACACACTTTGTATAAAATACAGTCTAATAGCTACTTTGCAAACTAGACGACATTTCCTGAACAGCAGTGTAGTGTTTTGCTCGTGAGGTAATGCTTAAATATGCTGTAACACATAAAAAGCTCTTTGGAAGTTAACTGTGTTTTTTCAGATTTTTCAATGACAGTCTTTACTTGAAATGCAATATAACTGGCTGTGAGGGTCTTGCAGCTGGGAGGTTAATACGATTGTGGCACAGATGTGGTTATGTGCATTGATATGTTAGTTGGATATAGTATAGATAGTTGATATAAATGTGCTTAGTCTGATACTTACTGTTGACTGCTGGATTTATTACCTCCCCAATATAGTACTTATATTTGTGTGAGGTTTCCAGATATCTTCTTGGCTGGCAATGCCACCCTGCCTACACCTATACCCATTACCCTCCTCCCTCGCTGCCTTGGGCCCTGGCAGTCTGGCATGTAACCGGGTTTTGGCCTGAATGGCCCAGATTGAGCAGGCTTGGTCCAGCTCCAGCCCGCAGTTACAGAATGTGTATGCTAGACGTGTTCAGTCCTGGACAGGGGTGGTGCAGCCAAGGCAAAACTCAACAGACCCACTCTTTCACCACTTCCCAGAACATCACAGGCACACTACGTTCCCATCAACGGCCCAGTCAGAGCCTCTACCTCACCAAACTAAACATGTACACTACTACTGTACATCTCTCCCAAAGAGAGTTGAATTGGGACAAGTTGCATTTTTGTAATGACAGACTTTTTAAGGCTAGTGTTGTCTTTTGAACGTGCTCAAGCCTTACTGCTGATCACATCACTGAACATGGTAGTGATGACAGCAATGCAGTAGAGAGGAGCTAACCTCTCTCACCCTGGCCTGTTGCTTTACTCTGCTGGGATTACCAGGGCATGCCTCTGCAAACATTCAAGCTCCGAGTTATTACTGGTCACAGCACTGCTCAGACAGAAAGCTGCACTAGGCTGTATGTCCCGTTCTCCCATGAGTCACTCAAACTGCCTGCCTGGTCCTTATCTCTGTGTTGTGTTTTAATTAGACTTGTCTTTTAGTCTGAAATATGTAAGTTAATATCAAGCTATGAACTCAAACTCAATGCCCTTGACATTCACGTATAGAAGTGAAACTCCATAGCCAACAAACAATGTATGTACAATAGAAGTTTGTCATTTGCCCTCATAATGTAACTTCACACAAGATAAAAATACATGTCTCGTTCTGAAATGGTTAGCATCTACAGGAATATGAAAAAAAAAATGGTTTACCAGGACAACCAATTAGAGGTCTTTGCTGGTGCACTTAGTAACCAAGACATGACAACAGATCTGGTATGACCTGTATCCAAATTACTAATCCCATTGTAATGCCACAAGTCCGGGATCTGGGTGTCAGTATAAAATTGTGACCAGTGTTGGGCTAGTAACTCAAACAATTTAATGTGTTACTCCTTTCTTATTACTCATTTACTAATATTGATAAAATCTGGTAAGAATATATCTGGAGAGTGAGAACTGTCAAGCTCAAGAAGAACTACATGTAATGCTACTCTTTTCAACTGCAGCTGCTCCTTAATTGGAGGATCATCAGGCTGCTGCCATTGTTGGTGTTCTCTCTATATTTGGGTCTTTTTTGGGTTGAGCACATTTTGGTTCAAGTCTAATTATCGTCAGTTCTATTTGGATGAGGTCTAAATGTCCTTGGGTCCCCTTTGGATCGGTCTCTTTTTTTGAAATATAATATATGTGAGTCAGGTTTTAGTAAGTTTTCCCTGGCTTATTTCAAGTCCAAAGTCTTCAACGGGTGAGGACTTCTTCCACCTTAATCTACTGAGCAATCCTGCAGTTTGTACTGCTGTGTTATGTATAATTCTTCAAGATGACTCCTGAGGCTTTTTTTCAGTTGTTTTGCTCTGTTGCAGTGTGTCTTTCTGTCATTGTCAGTGAATATACAGCCAGTTTGGAGCCTGGTGACCCACATACTCCATTAACCCCCCCAGTACAGTGTCAGTGTGTGCATGACCCTTCACCTCTATCCCTTGACCCCACCCCTTCTGGACATACACTGACCTGGAGATGCTCAAACTTGCAGGTCTGTAGTGTGTCAGTAACCTTACAATAAAACCTTTCCTGTTATGTAAAGCCGTAAGAAGGACTGCCAATCCCTAGAATACTTAACATGCAGTTATATATATGTAACATCTGGCTCGTATAATTTCTTATGGCGACAGGAGGAAAAATGTTGATATTGGTCCCAAGTAACTTTCATCTTATCTGAGCTGCATGCCACAGACAGACAGGGGGGCTTTAAGCCTGTAATTGGCCTTTCCCCAGGGTATGGAGCCTGTCCCCACATCCCAGACATTCCCCTTATTCTCCATCTCTGCTGTGTCCCTGCTTCCCCCACAGAGGGGGGTGGGGGTGTTGCTGTGTTTTGCTGGAGATTGTAACAAAGGGGTGTGAATGACTCCAGGGTACTGCCCTGAGATGTCCAGCACTGACCTTCTACAGTTCCCCACTGTTTAACAGCCTCACATCTGGACTGACCTGGGCTGACCGTCTCCCCATCCATCCGCTTTCAGTACCACACTCTCCCTCATCCAGCCCCTGTGTATCTTCTCTGTAGTCCCCTCAACCCTGGAGCAACACAGATCTGCTCTTAGAATGAGCCACAGGAGGTTCAGGATCAACTCCTGTCTTTCTCTTGAAGAAAGTGGCCCCTCTGGCTCTCCTGATGCCTTCTGT